CGAACTGATTGCGAACCAGACGCGCGGGCCGCGGGAGACGTTCCGTCAGTCACGTGCGATACAAAACATCAGTCCTCATCGGTCACGGCGCAGGTTAGGATTCTGGATCCTGTTCTAACATGGTGATGGCTGTCCGACACGCCTATACACCACTTGTATTCGGCCTGCCCTGAGCCATGACACGTCCTGCTCGATGCTCCCCTATCGCGGGCGCCCAAGGTGATATAAAAGGGGCCAGCTCTGATGCATGATGAATTCAGGAGCCTTACTCTCGATCCCCCTCTAACCGCTGACCCCATCCCCACCTCCTGTACGCACCACCTCGACAACAGATAGCTCACCATGTCCGATCTCAGTGTCCTTGTCCTTGGAGGCTCGAAGAACATTGGTTACTACGCCGCTGTACGACTGCTAGGTAAGTTCGGTCTTCGTTCTGTCAAGTTGCTTGAGGGATTGAGACGTTTTACAGCGGCGGGCGCCACAGTCACCTTCCTTCTTCGCAACGCGACTGTGTTCGACCAGGATCCCGTATTGCAGAACGCGATCATGAAGGGGAAGGCACGCCTAGTGAAGGGCGATGCTCTCAAAAAGGACGACGTTGCACACGCGTGGGCGGAGGCCGGGAAAGACGCCCCTGTTGGTGTTCTGCTCTCCACAGTCGGTTAGTACTCGTACACTGCGCCTCTTCTCTCGCATGCGCTGACACGTTTGCATCAGGAGGAGCACCGAAAGTTTCGCTGACGAAAGGCGTCGTGCTGGACCCGCCCAACATCGTCACGCAGTGTGTGTTCAACATCCTCTGCACGATGCCCAAGGACGCACCCCAGCCACGCATGGTCTTCGTTTCGTCGTCTGGACTCACGAAACGCTCTCACGCGTCGATACCGGTCTTGCTCAAGCCGATGTATTCGTACCTACTGGCCGGACCCCATCGCGACAAGATGGGCCAGGAGCGGGTGCTCTCGTACTGCGCTGGTCTGCCTTGGGATGAAGGCGAGGCCGAGCCTGCGGAAGAAATCATGGGCGTCAAGTGGCAGGAACGCGAAGGCCTTCCTGCAGCCGACAGCTTGAAGAAGGTGCCGGTCGTGCGACCTGCTCTCCTTACAGATGGGGAATGTGAGGCGGACAAGGGGAAGGCCAAGTCCTATCGGGTGTCAGAGGCAGAGTTGGGCGGCTACACGGTCTCGAGGAAGGATGTCGGGCACTTTATTGCGAAGGCCCTTCTATCGGAGTGGGATCAGTATGAAGGGAAGATCGTTAATGTAGGATATTGATTGTTGTACTATTAACTGTTCTCGTATCGTTATGCGAAAGCCACCCTAAGTAATATGTACTCTTCATTGACCAATACATCGCGCTCTTTGTATCAATAGTGATTTACGTTAGAAAGAAGAGACCGGGAGCCTGTGACTACAAGAGCAGAATGCTGTGGAGGTCCACGTGATTGTTCAACTTCTGTAGTTCGGAATTCTCCATCGGAGAGTTCAATTGCCTCACCTTTGCAATAGACTCTGCGGTCTCTATCGATGCTGCTGATATTTTACCATGAGGACAGACCAGATTGGAGCGAGATATTGGAGAGAGAAGAGCAGCGTGAGAATGGCTAAGGAATGGCCTTGGCGTCCGAGACGCGCTTCTGCGTGTATTGATCGCGTACCTTCCGCGCACGTGGTTGCTATTATGTGCGCGCGCCCCTAATTCGGACGCAACGCCCCTCCAATGTCATAAGCGCTCTCCTGTTCTGACCACCATCATCTCTCTCCTTTCTCGTCCTCGTCCTTCAGTCAGACCGCGCGTTTTCTCTGGCGCAATACAGGCGCTCAGCGTCACTGGGGTCCCCGTAGACAACGAAGATTATGCCACACAATGGCGGGCTCGGAGAGCCAGATCTCAAGTCCAATGCTCAGAGCTCATCATCGGGAAAGAAGTTCATTGGTGCGGTAGAGGATGAGTGGATGCTCTATAGGTGCGTTTTAGACCATACGCAAGTTATCTAAATGATTGACTGGGTACGCAAGCGACAACCCGGATGACTATACCTTGGGACCGGCCATAGGCTTCGGCGCATCTTCCATCGTCTACCAGGCAACGTACCAACCCAAAGGAAGGCCGGGCACCCCTCGTCAGCCACCTGTCCCTGTCGCATTCAAAGTCCTCGATCTAGATTCTCTTCCTCCACACTCGCTCGCGCTGCTTCAAAGCGAGACGACGCTCATGTCGCTTTCCAAACACCCCAACGTGCTACGTGTGCGCGGATCTTGGATGGATGGTCACAAGCTCTATATTGCGATGCGCCTCATGAACAAGGGAAGTGCCGCTGATGTCATGCGCTATGGGTGGCCTGGTGGCATGGAGGAGGAGGTTGTACGATGCATACTACGGCAGGCATTGCAGGGACTCAAGTACGTGTCACTGCTCGTGTGGCACATCGCGCACTAAACGAGGGCACAGCTATCTTCATATCAATGGATTTATTCATCGTGATATCAAGGCGGCGAACCTGCTTATGGACGACGACGGAACAGTGCTTTTGGGTGATCTTGGCGTGGCGGCCAACCTTGCCGAGGACACGTACTCTCCGACGGCACCAACGAAGGCGCACAGTATCAGCGCTGCTACGGCAGTGGCGGAACGCCGACCACACAATTCCGAAGGCGAAGGGAAACACGTTCTCTTCGACCACGCCACAGCACCCAATGCGCGCCCGAAGATCGGGAAGCGCAAATCATTCGTGGGAACCGTGAGTTTTCTCTCATGGGATGACGCGATCTGTCATACTGAAGATTACAACGCAGCCGTGTTGGATGGCTCCAGAAATCATCAAAGGGCAACAATACGACTCTGCAGCAGACATCTGGAGTTTCGGCATCACGGCGTTAGAGCTGACGCAGGGGCGTCCGCCTCGGTCGAGGGAAGCAACACAGAAGGTTTTGCTACGAACGTGAGCTTTTTACAGTGTCTGCCAAGGCGTGCAATGAGTTCTCATGTCTATTTACAGCATACAAGAGGACTCTCCCACACTAGATCGGGACAATGGCGTTCACAAATACACCCGGGCTTTGAAGGATATCATCGACAGCTGTCTTGTGAAGGACCCCAGCAAGCGACCGACCGCGGAGCAGCTCCTGCAGACTCCTTTCTTCAAGAACGCGAAGAAGAAGTCGTATCTCGTCAACACGATTTTGAGTGAGCTCAGTGCTTATGGCGCTGACAAGATATTGATAAATTCACAGAGGATCTGCCTCCGCTGGCGCAGCGTCAGGAACGACGGGCGACTAACCGGCACCAAACGATGCGATCCATCGACTCTTGGGATTTCTCCACAACGGTACATTCAGCGATTGGGTCCTTCCGACGCCACCGCTCGGAGGACTCGCCCACTGTCGAGGCCGTCATCGAGCTAGGCGAGGCTGCCTCGCCTTCGCCCAGGAGCCATTCTCGCGCAGTCTCTTTCATCAGTATCGCGCCGGTTCACGAAATAGACGAAACTGTCGCACCGGCCGAGGATGTCGTACCGGAAGACACGCCGCCGCCGCATCTGCCATCGAGCTCATCGGAACCATCCCTCGCAGGGGCATCGGACACGCCGTCGCAGGGATCGAGTCCTCCGTCGTCCGTCAACATATCCCCCTCGGCCGGGTCGGTCAAGCGAGTAGATGAGGGCATGACGCCATCGCAGGAAATTGCGAACTCGTACTCTACGGCGGCGGCGGCGCAGAAACCCCCGCTCTCGACGTCCAGGTCGGGTTTGTGGCAACGGCTGAAGAGCTCTGCGCGGCGCTCTGTGTCCTATAATGCGGCGGCGGCGGCGGATGAGGCGGCTGCTACCGAGAAGGGCAGCAGGCTGACGCGGCGGTTGACATCTGGCAGAGGCTCTGGACCGCCGGAATCTACTGTGTAGACGGGTATGTCTCGCTCTGGTCATGAACCATGATGCAGACGACTGATTCGACAGTCAGACCGCCGACCGGTTAAAGGCTCCCTTCCATTTCTTCCATGGGACTCTGTTCATATGCATCATCATCGGCCTCCATTCTTGCAACCATTATCAAGTTCACAATCATCACCAAGTGTACCACTAGTTCCCACTCCAGCTCGCCTCGTATTTATGGGCATCCTTTGACGCATTTACGACCAACGCAACGTCTATACCTATACACCACAAAGCACTGTTCTTGATGAATGTAATAGTATAATGTACATGCTTTATTGTAACTATGATCTCCTTCTGCCAGTTCTGGGCCAGTCGAGTCTTCCTCAGCGATGAGTTAGTGTGGCTCAAGTTGTCATTGCGACTGAATAAGGCTGTAGCGGTCTCAATCCAGTCCGAGGTCGCTGTGTTCGGCTGGGTATATGCGCGCATCTCCTTCTGCGCCAGTCGTGGCGTCTTCCTCAGCGATGAGCTGGCGTGGCCTTGCTACCAAACAAGGCTGTAGGGGTCTCATCGCAGTTACTGAGGTCGCTGAGTTCAGCAAGCTGAGTATATGCGCGTCAGCTGAATATATGCGTGCCAGCTGAGTATATACGCGTTAGCAGAGCCTGCATAGAACGGTTCAGCGACGCACCAAGTACTCCGAGCCAGCTCAGAGCTTAGAGCATTCTTTGCGTGGGCATGCGTCGCGCCACCGCAGTGGTCAATTGTCCAAAAGGTTCGTTCGCGTTCGTGATCAATGCAGATTCATCGGGCGAGGTCCCTACGCTGTGCTAGTTGAGGGACCGCCGACCCGCCTAAGGTGTAACGTCGCTTTGTTAGGTTGCATCGAGGGTCTGCAGATCATGGTGCGCGAGTGGTTGGCGCGGCTCACCTAGACGTGCTGCCACAGAGCTGAATACGTTCAATCTTCAAGAGCGTCCAGCGTCGCTTAGAGTCTGACAGCAAGTCTTAAAGATCTTCTATGAATATCCAGCTAATGCAACGACGACAGAAGAGGCCCAGGGAACGTAAAACAACGAGGAGAATGGGCGAGGACATGAGGGTTCAGGACAAAAAGCGAGAAATTAACCCCCGGCGGGACTCGAACCCGCAGCCTCCAGATACGTAATTCGCATTAGACAACGCGGAATAGAAGTCTGACGTCATAACCATTAGACAACGGGGGCTTGAAGTAGACAGGACAATTAAAGATGATATTATATGCATCATTTCTCCCAGATCAAGTCGAGTCAAATACTGGTCAAATATCATGATGATCCACCCTCAAGTTGCATACTACAATCAATCAGACTCAGAACCTCATGCAAGGAGAATCAAAGACCTACCGCTTAAATGACGGTGCCCAGCTGGCGTACCGCGTCCTCAATCGGCGGGTCTCTACAGCCTTGCCTTTGGTTCTCGTCAATGGCTTAAGCGCAATGATGAGCGACTGGGAACCACTGGCGAGTAGTCTTTCCAGATCGCGTCCAGGTCAGAAATTCTGCCATACATTGTTCAGCCAGGAATGAAGCCACTGACTCCAAGAGCTTTACAGTGCTTGTCTATGACCATCGTGGCATTGGCAACTCTACGTTTAGCGATTCAACGTCTAGCGACCCTGTCTCCATCGAGTCCTTGGCGCGCGACCTTCTGGATCTGCTCATTCACCTGGGCTGGAAGCAGCTCGCCATATGTGGCTTCTCGATGGGAGGTGCGTTGCAAGCCTCTCAATCGCGAAATAAGGCGTCGGGCTCATGTGCGCTGCTGCGCAGGTACGGTAGCACAACAGCTCCTGCTTCTGCCTTATGCTGCGACTAAGCCTTTACCTCTGCCGTTCCGGGTCACGCACGTCGTGTTAGCGGCCACGATGCCACGGACAATAATTAGTGAAGGCGCACAGGTACTTCTGCAGCAGCGCCGAACCCGGACGGAGGCGGACAGGCTGGAGGCCGCACGCCGTGTCGTAGACGTATCCTTCGACGAGCGATGGATCAACGATCCAACGAATGCGGCACGGATAGAGAACTGGATAGCGCAATTTGCGAAGCCGAGGTAAGTCTTCCTGAAATCTTACCACCACAAGAAAGCTGAGGTGCGGGCTTAGGTCGAAGAAAGCTATAGGTGAGAAAGGATAATTTGTTCAACGCCCGTCAAGTAATCGAGACTTACCCTGCCAGTCGCTCAAGCAAAAGCAGTAAGTACCTGCGAACAGGTCTTGGATCATCGAGCTGACTCAAACCGGTAGACCATGCACATCGACTTCCGGGACCTGCACTCCAGGCTCCCTCGTGACACGCAATGCCTTGTCATCCATGGCACATTGGATATGATGGTGCCGTATTCCTGTAGCGAGGAGATATTGGAGAAGATCCCTTGGGCGCGCCGAGTCGAGGTCGGGACAGCGCCAGGGCAGATAGACCATCTGGCGTTTGGACACCAGTGGTTCGGATATTTTGAGGCGGACAGGTGGCGCGAGGTCTTTGACGTGTTTCTGAGCAAGCAAAATGTGGGAAAGGAAGGAAGACATGCAAGGCTTTGAGTAGCCGAAGGAACTGAGAAGATACTTGTATAATTGACTGGCTGAATTTCTGTAGAGCTACAAGGTTATCACGCATGGACGACTTCCGGCCATCCGTGCGTAAAGTCGATGTAGTTGATGCCCAGCACGGCATCAGACGTGATGTTGTCGACGGCTGTTGGATGGTCCTTGAGAAATGCGCGAATAGCAGATAAAACACACTACTCACGAACATAGTGATACACCATGACATCGCGTCCACTAATCGGATCGAGGAATAGGCTCTGCCCTTCAATTACGGTCGTCAACAAGTATGCATCTCTCATTGTTACATACTCACCACCCGGCGCGAAGACATTGTCATGCGAGGCGAGAACGACAGATCCCGTCGGGTAGCGAAGATCCTTCGTCAAAGCGCGCCCGAGTTTGTCGACGAATGGTCCGGTCGCATTCTCCGCACGGCCCACGAGTACTTTGTATTCCTCAAGCGGTTCAGGCATCTCTGTTGGCTGAGAATGAGAAGGAGTCAGTTATCCAGGCCATATGTTACAACATAGAAAGCACCCTTACGTCGACATTGCCCGTGGATCCGTCGGAAAAGAAGAGATAGTACCAATCACTAGACTGAGGCTTATAGACGAACCCGCCCTCTGCAGGGCGATCATTACCACCTGTAGCGACCGTTGAGTTAACGCGAAGACGCTGGAACCGCGACATTGGCGTACCGGCAACGTGGTTTCCAGGAAGTCTCTGTAAAAAAATGAGCGCGCGGCCCATGAATGAGTAACGTGCGCACGTACCAAAGTATTCAGAGTGTAGATATCAGACATTGCTAGGTGGGGTTGTAAGTCTTGTGTATCGCGGACTTCAACGACCTAGTAAACACTCACGCATCTGGAACATGCCGCCCCAGTAAGAGCCGAAGCTCATGATCAGATTACCGTTGACCTCAATGATATTCGCATCGACTGAGAAGGCAGACATTCAGTGACCAACTACGCGCGTGTAGGTACGTGAAGGACCGCTCACTCGCGTTCCAATTCAGCTCAGCATCTTCCGAAGAATTGAAGATCATGCCGTGCTCGGTCCAGGTGCCCTCCTGTAGCGATGGGCTCGTCGCGACGCCGACAGCGGAATTCTGACTACCGACGGAGGAGACAGCATAATACATCACCCACTGCCCATCTAAGTACGCGACATCAGGAGCCTGTATACCTGTTGAGCAGTGTGTAGCATGCAATTTGTGGGAACAGCCTACCCAGCAATTGCAGTTGCCTTCAAGTTCAATCTTTGAACAGTTCGGCATGACAGAGCCCGTGCGGATCCAGGGACTGTATGCATTCATCAGACTTGATTCTTAGCAAGACAGTCGCTCAACGTACCCACTGAGCTCATCCGCGGTGAAGATTTTGACGCCTTCGCGTGTGCTGAAGATAGAGTACTTCTGTCGAGACGTCAAAAGGTGATTTATATGTCCAATCACAGCGGACGCACCCCCAGATCCTGGTTGTATGCTATGGCAGGATCGCGCACGTATATATCTCCTGTAAGAGCGGCCAGAATTGTCATCGCAGCAAGAGTAGATATGGACCGATTACTCACTGCTTCCTTCCAAAGGGTCTGGAAAAGTGAACGGCGCGCTAGGATCGTGATACGACGGCCAGTGCGCAAGAGCGGGTAGCGCACTGAGCATGAACTGCGCAAGTATAGTATGCTGAGATCTCATGACGAGTCGTAGGGTCGCACGTTGGGCGTGAAGGCGTTGTCCGCGAGGTTGGCGTCATTCGAGGCAGCGCATAACGCATTGCACCTTTTATAAGAGCACGTCGGCGAGCTGGGCATTTGATCCGCTAGGCACGGGCAGGCCTGTGTACTGAGCGAGATGACCCAACGAGCCCCACAATCCTGTCCTCGGTATGGAAAACGAGCGTACACGTGAGAACGCCGTCGGTAACATCGACCATCCAGTGAAAGAGAAGACGAGGCCAAGGCAAGGCCACTTCAGCGCGATGTTACAGCTAGTGAAGATACGCAGGGCATTAGATTTGTTGTTCCAGTGAATCCGCAGTTGCAAGGCGAGCCTCAAAAAATCGGTTTACTTTCGCAGGTCGGATCGGATGTCGACAGAGGTTGCCACAGTCAAGCAAGGGCCTCGCCGCCTGACCGCCATTGTTGACATGTCACTATCATGGTCAATTCCAGATGTGCAAGCTAGCTGGGGGTTCAGCTGACCACCAGTCACCCGAGCAAGTGCAGTCGCTCGCTGATTGCTAGTGTCCCCAAGATCTTTCCGGACGAGGAACCCGGTCGTCCGCGTCAAGCTTCAAGTCTAAGGGTATCGGAAGATGCAAGAGAACTTCAGTCGTGCTGCCAAGCAAAGCGATACGATACCTCAAACATGGAAATTACGGAAGAGAGACAAACTGGTATTGTATGTGTGTGTTGCTTCTCATTCAGGCTCAGGATTTCGGAAGCAAGCAGAATGGGACATTAGCGGTGGGATATGCAGGCTCGTGTATCCCTCCGGGCAGGTATCATATGTTACAGGATTTCCGTGGGATGAGTATGTACGTGGCAGCAAAACACAGCGAAAGAACGAGACGACAGATGTGGATAAATTAGAGAAAAGAGTGGCGACTACTTCTTGGCCCTGAGCTGTTCCCGTAGCTGCCCATTCGCCATCTGCAGATCGTTCAACTCGTCTAGTAGGAGCGCCTTCTGCATCTGCTCCCCGTTGCGCACGCGTTCCAGCTCGTCGCGGTCCTCCTCGGCGGCCTTTCTCGCGGCCTGCGTCTCCTGGAGCTCCTTCTCGAGTGTCGAGAGCCTGGAGACGGTGTCCGCGTGCGACTTCTGTACATCCTGCAACTGGAGCTGCACCGCCTGGAGGTTTCGTCGCGCGTCGTCGAGCTGGCGCTTGACACCCTCTGGTGCAGCGACAACCTCTTCTGCAAGCGATAGCGTCTTAGCGCTCAATGTATTGTTCGTCTCCGTCAGCTGGTCCATCGTCTGCGCCTGCTCGGCCGCTTGCATCTCGATCTCTGCCTTTTCTTGTGTGATGCGGTCGGCGACGTCTTGCAAATACTGCACCTCCTCCGACATGCCCGCTAGACGGCCGTTCAACTCGCGGTTGCGTTCCTCGAGGAGTTGCACCTGCTTCTGGTACGTCTCGAGCGCGGTGGAGCCCTCCTGCGCAAGCTTCTGAGCACGCTCAGCATTCTTCTTGAGAAGCTCATGCGCCTTCGCAAAGCGCACGAGTCGCTCGATCAGTGCGCGGTCGTCACTGATGATATCCTGGACGCGCTGCGCAAACGCCTCGACAGTGAACTGGTCGTTAGCATTGAGGTTGGGTGATCGCGATGGGCTGGGGTCGTAGAGCGTCTTGAGCGAGCGGACATCGAGTTCTGAGAGTGATGCGACCGGGGCTGAGGCTCCACCATTGACATTGGAAGCGGTGCGGAAGTGACGCGGGCTGCCGTTGCGACTGGCGAACCGTGCTGCGCGTGCACGCGGGTTGGGCATAATGGCCCACAGTGGCTGAAGGACTTCAGCGAAATGCGCTGCTTCCCCGACATACTCGACAGGGCCCTCGGGCACAGGTGGAAGTTGCACGAGCGGGAGGGGCGACATGGCCGGGGTCTGCGGCGTGCGGACTTCGAGCTCCTGTGAGGA